AGTGCCAGAACGCCTGCAGGCTCAAGCTTTACAGCTGATCCATAGTGATCATTTTGGAGTTTGTTACTCAAAGGCAATGGCCAGATCCCTGGTATGGTGGCCTGGTCTAGATAAGGAGATAGCTGCGTTGGTGGCTTCCTGTGTCATCTGCCGGAAGACTGCACATAGACCTCCTCAATCTGCCACTTCGGTTTGGCCTCTTCCAACTAAGCCATGGGAGCGCTTGCATGTTGATTATGCTGGTCCTGTGGACGGAAGAAATTTTTTAATCATGGTGGATGCTTATACCAAGTGGCCAATGGTTAAGGTGGTATCAGATCTTACTGCGAGCACGTTGATCACTCACATACGAAACTCTTTTGCAGACTTCGGCACTCCAGATTTAATTGTCTCTGACAATGGAACCCAGTTTACTTCCAAAGAGTTTGCAGAATTTCTAAAGATGAATGGAGTTCGCCACTTGACATCTCCCCCATGGCATCCAGCGTCAAATGGTTTGGCCGAGCGTACTGTACAAACATTTTAAACAGTTTCTCTCACGGTTTACAGAAGGTGACACCCATGCTAGAGTGGCTAGATGTTTAAAAGCTATGAGAACGATGCCTCACGCCACAACTAACCTCTCAGCGGCAGAAGCTTTGTTTGGACGTCGTCTGCCATCCACCCTGACCAAGCTCCATCCTTCGTCAAGGACTTCTGAAAAGCCTGCGCCTCCACCTCTCCCTCCAGGTACACTGGTATGGGCACTTAAACGCCAGGCTAATTCCGTATCTTGGGCTCCAGGTTCCATCAAGGATAACGAAGGAGGCAGGACTTACGTGGTGCTTCTCCATGATGGTTCCGTGCTGCGAGTTAGTGTTGACGAAGTTCAGCGCCGCCTCGAACACCACAGTACTGCCCCACCCCCTCCTCCTCCTGAGGAGCCTCAGGCGGGACCAGTTCAAAAGGACAAGGAGACTCCAGCTACTTCAAACCAGTCTGTCAAGGATGATAGTAGCAGTGGTGTACCAACAGGAGTGGTAGTAACTTCCCAGCCCACTCAGCCAATGTTGGCCATTCTACCACCCCCAGCACCTACTGGATCAAATCAGAAGGTAATTCCATCTCCTGAAGCCAGTTTATCTCCGCCATTTCTTACCCCACAGACCAGCCCCGTCAACAAGGACTCAACTCCAGGGGGTTCCAACAACGGCCGAGGTCGAGGTAGAGGCCTTATTGTCCGAGAGAAACCAAAAGGAACCAGGAAGGAGACTTTCTCACATGTCTTCAAGGAGCAAGAGACGAGGAGTGGTCGTCGTACAAAAATACCACAACAATTTGCTGATGTTTGAGTTGTAAGATGCTCTCTGATATTGTGATATCCCAATCAGTACCTTTTAACTGTGA